TGCCTTCATGTTTATGGATCTGATGTCGAAACAAAGGCTCATTCATTGCCGCAGAGATAGTCTGGGTTGCCAAGTTCCATATTCACAAGATCGCAAAGATCGAGTTGCAGAACTGTTTTGGAATTAAAAGAACCGCTGACAGAAATGCATATTACCTAACAGGGATTATTTTGAAGTCGAATAAATAAATATTAAGTTGAAGAAGTACGATTTCTAATCTCAGCTTTCACAATACAATACGGCTAATAGGAATTTAATGGACTAAGTTTTAGAATAAAAATAAAAAATTACTGACGATCAATTCCTTATCGATGATTTTGCTCATTCATGTCCATGCACTTACATGATTCGAACTTATTTTTGGTGTTGGTTTTTTAATCCTTCTGGCGCATACAAAAATAGTATTCTTCTCAAACTTGGTCCCAAAGCAGATTAAGGCCCTAAAAAACCTCAAAATTATAATAAAACACTGAGAGTTAAAATTTCATTGTAAAGATGGTCACCAGCAAATCGAAAAACCGAGATTGAGGACTCATCCATTTCGTTCCAGTGAATTTTATGAAAAGTTATTCCACGGCGTGGAAGGACAATTGTCGAATATGTCCATAAAATAATAGAAATCGCCGAGGTGGGCCACTTACACGCGGTCGAAGTGCAGTGACCACAAACAGTCTCCAAACCAAGATTTGCGGTCCTACAGTAAAACTGTTAGCAATTGGATCATTTGAATTAAGCAATCGCCCAGAAGCGCCCAGCTTTGGCCAACAGGTAAGGAATTGTGTTTCTTCAGGACAGCGCCAGACCACACGCATCCGAGAGCTTGGTTGGCAAGTTCTTATGCTTCCACTTTATAGATCGGACTACGCACCAAATGATGACCTTCTGTTACTGTCCATGGCGAATAATTTGCCTAGTGAAGAATTGGTCTTAAGAAAAGCCTGTAAAAATTGGCTATCCTAATTGGCAATTGGCTATGAAAGAGGCATACTGACATAACTTTTAAAGGACAAAAAGGGGCATATTTTACATAAATCGTATAGTTTTAATTATGGTAATAAAGTCTTAAATTTGATGCAAAAATAATTGATGTCTTATACTTGTCCACATTTAAGACGTTGTTAAATCGGCGGCAAAATTAAAATACAAATAGTCTCAGAAAAATCAGATCGATGAACTGTTTTCACGTATATGTACTTAGGCATATATTTTTGTATGTACGTGTATACTCATGCATTTGTATATGCGTACGTGCAACTTATCTAAAAGGATTATTATTTAGCTTTGCAAGTTTTAAAATGGCAAAGACTGAATTTTGACCGAGATTTATTTCCAAAGGATGTGATTTAAGGCTTGGATAAATTCATCATCAAATCGAATCTATATAAATGCTGAAAATGAAAATATATTTATGTTTTAGTTTCACTCATATCCTTACCCTCCCACGAATATCAATACCTATCCAGAGAACTTATTATAACATATTGTAAAAGTAAAAGATTTTTAAAAGATTTCTTGGTCGGTTGAATACTCATCTTGAACACATATATGTACATAGACATGTATTCGCCCCATCGCCAAAACTTTGCAAACGCCTGAAATTATGCAGCATGTTAATGTATTTACTTCTGCTCACTCACTCCACTCAATTTTCTTATCAGCTAAAGAGCACAGGGCACGGAATAACATATGGTGACAAAATGACTCGTCAATACATCAACACACTTTTAATAAAATCATAACAACTGACGTCATGATGAGAATGAATTACTTAGTGAACGAACTTTATATTTGTTTTGATGCATATTTTTGTTTATAAAACCAAGTGATAATAAAAAGAAGTCAAATATATTGGCATTTTAATTCGATAATGAATGATTAGTCAATTAAATAAATTACTTAGTTCTACTTGTTGCTAATACAATATAAGTGGATTTATACATTCTTATTTCGGGGGATAGAAAAACTTTGGCGGCAAAAGGAACTTTCAAAAATATCTATACCGGTACGCCGGGACTTGGCAGACTTGTGCAGCGATTTTATAGCTCTTAACGAGATTACTATAAAATAGCTACATATAAGTGCGTATTTAAACCAGTTTATTGTAAATTTGCAAGTTAAAGCGAAAATGTTTAATTGAGCATAATTTAATCAATTTTGACTCTATTTTTTTGAAAATATTGAACGGATGTTCCAATTTCCAGTTGAACATTATTAGGCAGAATACAATGAACAACCATATTAAATTTGGCGCAAGAAAGATAAAGATGGAACTTTTTATTTTCAAATTAAATTTTTTGAAAAAATTGCAAATTATTTACATTCTGAAAATAAGTATACATATTCGCATTATCTAACCTCAAAGATATATATACATCTTGGTCGACGAATAAGTTTAAAAACGAGATAGTAGGCAAATTTAATTAACTTATTCATTACTTGACCAAGTAGAACTACAAAATCTTTAGAAACTTTTTATTAATTCAATTGTTTCTACTGGAGTACGTTTACTAGAAAAAAGAAAAAAAAAAGCTAATGGGTTTTACTGAAATATAAGATAACCAAATACAATCAATCGTGAACTCAAGGTGCAATAAAGGCGGTAATATCGTTTCTCCATTTACTTTCTAAACAAATTTGTATTAGAAGGAACGTTCTGTGATGGATAATTGAAACTTCATTAAAATTATCTAATTCTTTTGCTATATGTGTTATGTATAATTATTTGTGTAAAATGAAATACATATGAATAATAACGGCTGTCATTTCATTAGCAGTCAATATCAATATCATCCATAAAAAATAGGTATTTTGCCAGTTTTCCATGTACGAACCTCAGGGTTCACTTTATTACCAGTATAACCACACACCCGTAGCTTACTACATTCCGCTGGAAACCGTAATCGAAGGCCTCCAATAGCCCGTAGTGAATCTCGTAGAGTCTCTTCTAAAAAACAGTATCATTTTCGCAGAGATGAACATCGCCAATATAACTAGTTACACAACAGGAGATACCCCTCAGGCAAAGGTTAAATCCCACTGTTGTTGTGTCTCACGCAAATACTCTAGGAAACTAGTTTAAGGATATTAATCCAGAAAAATCCGAAGTGGTTCTATTTGCCAGGAGGTACAAACCACCTCCTTTTATACCAATCTAACGGGCATGGAGTTCATCCTCCCTACCGAAGTCAAATACCTTGGGATAATCTGAGATAGCAAACTCAATTGAAGCCCAGATACGTCAGAAAGGTCGAGGAAGCTTTAACTTCACTTTTGTATTCTGGATTTATACAACATAATCGTTAGACCAATCATAATCATGGTGGACGGCACTTGAGAAAGTTACTTTCAGGAGCTGCTACTGCTAACTCTCCTAAGTTTCCTTCCTCTGAACCTGTACGGAAAATTACAAGCGAACTACATTATAGGTCACGCTAAAATATTATCTCTTGCAGAAATGCCGAAGTAGCTGGATTACATCGCCTCCAGTGAGTGTTGCTTCGAAAATCTTTTTCCCCACAAGAACCCCAAACAGAAATGAATGGGAAGAGGGAGTCATAGACATCTTTGCACACAATTCAAAGCTCGTTGAAAAATTCCATAGTGCATAAAGATGATCAGAAGTCTTTCAAGCAGAACTCTTTGAAATCATAGAAGCCGCCGAGTGGTTGATCATATCTACGGTAACAGAACAATCAGTTACGATATATTTCAAAAATTCAGCTGTCATCAGATCTTGGCAGTGTAAGAATACCACACCAAAAGTGGCTATTAAATATGTAAGCTGTATTAACAAACTCTCATCTAAACTCCACAGTGACCTCCCAGGCGACTGAAGGGCAGACGAACTGTCGAGAGAAGAAACTCTTCTATCCTTAATAAAACCTGCACACCATGCACTGGAGGAGAAGTTCTGACAAAAACTTGTTAAAGCCATTAGAAGGCGCATTTGCATTATACTTTACTTCTCTAGAGATATTTAGCGACCAAAAATCTATATGTATATATCAAACATCCTGAGATAACGGGAAGAGCTAAATTAGTCATGTCGGTATATATCTCCGTTTCTACGTCTCTCTTAACAAAAAATGGCTCACAAATTCGTTGGGACTTAAGTACGGATGGTATGTACTTACGTCACGATAATATCGTTGCTAATAGAGCAATAAATTTCAGGTTGAATAAGATGTTTTATTTTTTTAATGAGTTTTTGACCCTTTATGCAGAGGTTTCGCTAGATAGACTCCTGTGCACTATAATTGATTGTCTTACACATGTGGAATAAATCGTAGTGAAGTCATTTGGATCTAAAGAAAACAATCACTTCTGAATGACGATATCCACTAGCTATGATAATTTACATACATATATGTTCGGCGGAAAATCGCTTCAGCGGTTACAAAGCGCCAATATATATATATGTTCATATTCAGATAACTAGTGGGTTCAGGTCCTGGCTAGACAAACATCCCTGCCGTTGTAGGAAATATAAGACCGGCTGAAATGGTTACTAAGCGAGCTCCAATACTGGTCAAACCAAAATCGAAAATTACAGGTCGCCGAGGGGCGACCGCTAACAAAAAAATTAAGTTGACTTTTAATTTAAATTACTTTTCTATAATTTTTGGATGTTAGTCGGAATAGAACTCGCACCCTGCCCTTCTGGGTATCAGTACGCAATGCCAACCACTCGGCTATCGACTGCCATATATTCATATATACCAAATATATATTATATGTATATACAAATATCTATCTATATCTATTTAAATCAATTTTTTCTTCTCGTACCACGAACACCACCAGATGCTGTTGAGAATTATCGTAAAAGATTTCAGAGAGCTTTAAATAGTGAAATCCCCCTCAGGTTGATAAAAAGAGTTTGCCGGGTTCATATGTTAAGCAGCTATTCTCATCATTTCTATTTGGGGACTTATTATATTGTTATTGTATTTTTGTATATATGTATATAATCAAACATATGTATGTATTTACACACGTACCTCGAAGTTCTCGCTAATTCAAATCCATTGCTGATAAACATTTTGATTCTGTTTCTGTTTTTACTTTCTCTTATCGATTTTGTTTGATTTCGCTGCTCACAAATGTTTCAATCGTCTATTGATCTAAATTTAAATTTATATATCTTGTAATTGCAATTGCATTAAGTTTTCATTATTTATTTCATCGCTTTACCCAAGTATGTTTCTCTAAACTTTGTATGTTTCATTAATCACTACACTTTCTCTATATTTCAAATATTCTCGTATTTATGTGGTTCGATAAGCTTTCATACACTATTTTTATTTTAAATCATTTATATGTCTCTATTTACAGAGGGCCGGATTGAATCTGAATGGACTATGCCGTAAAGACTGCAAGAATTAAAATGCAGACGTGACCAAACGATATTCGAGTGAAAATCACTGTGCTTTTTTGAATTACTTGAGCGACTTGACTCTGTAGCAACAAGATGTTCGGCTTAACTCTACGGCTTCGCTCATTGCTTTTCCATAATATTGAATCACTATCAGTTGCGCTCCTTATATGCACTCGACGCGCACTTTCGTATTATTCAAATTTTCATTAAACGTTTCTTTATTATATACATATATATAAATATATAGACATATATATGTATATATTGTAAGTCCATATGTATGGAAAAGTGCGATAAGATAATCCATGTCATTCGCGTCTTTCGAATTCACTTTGCAAGCCTAATTACACTGGGTAACATAATATTTCATACAAAAGTAGAAAAAATTTGTGCTGGTGGTGTCAAGTAGCAAATATTATTTTATAGACGATAAAAAGCACAGGAGTTTTATGTGAAGATTTTGTTTATAAACGTAGTATACAAAGATATACATACATACATATAATAAAAGTTATTATCTAAAGAGCTCGTCGCGTGCACAAAATGTTACTACCATAAATTTTGTCTCTGATATAAAAATGGAACTCGACTCACACCTTTATTATTGACACCTATAACAACATGGATATATCAAATGCCTTAAATCTTAAAAAAAATTTAAAGTTATGACTATTTGCCAAAGAGCCATACAGTCCGGTACCAGGACGGTTCACGGTGTTATGGATCTTGATATCACTATTGGCCCGTAACCTAATTTCGCCCTTCGTTCAAGGGCCCTTATTTTTAGAAAATCTACTTCTAGAAAAAGGTTGATTATTTGGAGAATAAGGCGTCAAAGCTGCTCTGATGGAATAAAATCTGTTAAAAAATCTATTCTATGTCCATACTTTCCTCTGGAACTTATTTTACTCGTCTTAGGAAAATGCTAAGTATAATTTTCAGAAGTAAAATAATAACAAGCTCAGCTTCTAGCTACCTTATTTCTGAAATCTAAACAAATGTTTCGTTTAGGATGTCTAGCCATTTAATTTCACGAAGTATAGTACTGTATGAGTCTTGATATCAAGTCTCATTCTAGCATAATTGACATACTCGTATCTACTTTTAAAAATCAGCTGATGAGTTTCTGTTCAGGTCTGATTTTTTTAGTTCTCCACACCAAACCAACAAAAAAGATTCCGTACGTCATGCAGACTGCGCCCCTCGTACAGTTAAAGGAATAATAACAATAGAACAGGGTTGCTTCGAAAATAAACGCAAATAAACAATGTTTCGTAAAACTTTTTTTTTATTATAAGGTTTCAGCATTCAAATGACCGCCTCGTGAATTTTCGCAAACTTCGATCCATTTGAGGTAATTTTCGACAACTTTTTGGCACATATTGCGCTGTGTCTCAGACATAACTTGACGAATGTTGTGCTTCAAGTGCTCTAAGGTTGAAGATTTATCCACATAAGAATAAGTCCAACGGCGTCAAATTGCACGATCTCGGTGGACAATTGTCAACATTTTGTTGAAACCATGTATTGCTCTTTATTTGCAGTCCGGAAAAAAAATGTACAGAACTGTAAGTTTTTGTTTGGATATAATTTATTCGCGGAACCCAAAAAGTGACAATTTTGCTTATTTACGTATCCCTCTTGTGAGGAATGTGCACCGTTGCTAAAAAAAATTTTTGTTCGAAAAATCGTAACCCACTGCTTGTTATTCAAGCACTCAATCGACGTATTTACGGCGTTGTGAATGCTCAGCTGGCTTCAGTTGTTGCGTGAGCTGGACTTTATATGGGCGTAGGTGTAAGTTCAAGTGTCAAATACACCCTAATATGCCGAAAGTTCCAGCGTTGGAGAACATCGGCTACACGGCTAGAATTTTACCCATTGCTTGAATAGTTGGACAATTATGGTAACGATAATCTCCCAATTAAGCACGAAGGGCCATGTTTGAATCAATACTTTCGTAGTAGGTTTTAACAATTTGAACGCGTCAAGTTGTGATTGACGCCCAGGATGGAAGGAACTATCCACTATGAGCTCCTTCTCTATGGGCTGCTCCGCTTGGACCTGTATTGTCAGCAATTGAACCGTCTGAAGGAAGCAATCGAAGGGCCCAGATATGGCCAACAGGAGAGGAATTGTGTTTCATCAGGTCAATGCAAGACCACAAATCGATAGTGACTCACCAGAAGCTCCGAGCGCTTGGTTGGAAAGTCCTTATGCATCCACCTTATAATGGCCGCAAAAAACGCTTGTGAAAATCGATTGCCTAATTTGGTGCCAATAGGGTCAAAAGTTTCTATCAGAGAAACTTAACGGCATTACCTGCAAACTGGCAAAGAGTTATAGAGTAAGAAAAGCGGCCACAATATCAAGAGCGACATGACAAAGTCATCCTCCAACACGACAATGCTCGGCCTCACGTCGCAAAAGTGCTCCAAAAGTACCTGGAAACGCTAAAATGGGAAGTCTTGCCCCACCCGCCGTATTCCGCAGATGTCGCGCCTTTTGACTTCCATCTATTCCGTTCGATGGCACACGGCCTGGCAGATCAACATTTTCAATCCTTCGAAGAATTGGAAAAATGGATTGCTTCATGGATAGCGTCAAAAGAGGACTCCTTTTATCGAGCCGGGATTCGAAAATTGCCGGAAAGATGGGAGAAAGTTGTCGCTAGCGAAGGACAATACTTATATCTATATATATATATATATATATATATATATATATACCTGTAAGCACTTTTTCGCAATGAAGCTTTTAATTTTGGGAAAAAACGGCGGAAGCAAAGTTGTACGCCTGATATAAAATGAAATTCAAAAAACTTCAATATATGTATGTACAATATATAATTAAAAATGCGCTTATTTGTTGAAAATAAACAATTATAAGAAAATAGTCACTAATTAAGAAAGTAGCTTGGTTGGTTCTCTTTCTCATTTACCCCTTTATTGTCTTGAACACTGATTTACAATTTAGCTATTGCAATGAATTTAACGGTTCATGCATGCACATTGAACTTTCTCAACAATTTTTCAAATAAATGCGTTATAGGGTCAAAAAAAATCTTTGGAAACAACAGATTTGATTATCACATAACAAAATATTTGCATGGCTCAGTTTTTACGGTATGTGCATATCTATGTATGTATTTACATGGTACATAGTACGTAACTACGGGAAAATACAAGCTAAAACCATTAATAATATGTTCCTTTTATTTTTCATTACCGTTAATTCTATTCACAGCATTGGTATAATACAACAAACTTTTTTAACGACGGTTACTTTAATGTTTTTTTGTTCTTATGAAAATCAGCTTCGAATGCTTTCTTCTTAGTATCCTTAGGAATCAACATAATATTATAATAATTCTTCAATCTTAATCAAGATAAATATTATATTCATTATAATAAATACATACAAGTACATATGTATGCAAATCCGCGTGTCACGTGCGAGTTTACATTAGATAACCACATGCGGAAGTTGTCTCCATGTTCGAATTGTAAAATATGTATTTGTTTATTATAGGCGCCCACTTAGGTATATTAAAGTATTAATAATATTGATTAAGAATTGGTTAAAAGCAAAAGTTGGAGTTAAGTTAAGTTGGAGTTTTTCAGACATAACAAGTTTTCTTGCCTTAAGCGACTTTTGATGTCGAAAAGCTTCATTTCCTCGGAAATGGATTATATTTTTAATTGACGCTTTGTGGTTTCGCGCCATGATATTAGGTCAAGTAAGAAGTTCGTTCGGTTGTTATCTAAGAGATGACGTTATTGCCCATAGTATTAATGTTACGTATCGCATCATGTCATACTATACGACGCTAAAAGTTTGGCTCAAAAGTGGTTCGCTAGGTTCCGTCGCGTCGGGAGGCCTGTCGTTGAAAATTGCGATAAAATCATGGAAATTGTGGAAACAGACCGTCACGTGAGCACTTATCTAATTTCTGAGGCACTAAAGATAAGCCAGAAAACAGTTCGGAACCATTTGCATAACCTTTGTTTCAAAAAGAAGCTCGATGTTTGGGTGCCACATAAACTAAAGCAAAAAAAACATGATGGACCGAATTTCCATCTGCGAATCGCTGCTGAATCGCAACAAAATCGACCCGTTTCTGAAGCGGATTTTAACTGGCGATGAAAAATGGTTCACTTACGAAAAAATCGAGCGCAAACGGTCGTGGTCAAAGCTCGGGGAAGAAAGATTTTTCTGAGTGTTTGGTGGGATTGGCAAGGAATCATCTATTACGAGCTGCTTCCCTATGGTCAAACGCTCAATTCGGCTCTCTATTGCCAACAATGGATTTTCATGGGGAGCTTTGTTTTTGATGTCAGAAATAAAATCGGAGAGCTTGACATTCCCTGCCGTAACTTCCTATACACGCACCAAACTTATTTGTTTTTAGTTTAGTTAAAAAGTATAATTTTCACTACTTTTGAAAGTAATAATTTAAAAAATGGTTTGCTAACAATCAAAATAAAATTTGTTGCTACTAAAGAAAGTTGGATTTTGCTGTGTCTGAGAGCACCTTTGTTCTAAAATAACCGCTTTTATATTACAAAGCATATAACATATTTATAAAAATATCATCTAAAGATCGAAGAAGGTTTTTATAATTTTTGAACTTAGTTTAATAAGTAATGAATAATTTCTCGTGAATACATTTGATAAAGCTCTATAATACAAATTTTGGCAACTTTGCCTGGATTTGTTATACAATTTAATAAATATTATAATACCATTAAGTGGAGAGTTAAATTTTTATAACATTTTATATCGAATAAGTGTAAAAACGTAAACATTAGTAAGTCGTTCGTGAATTCCGCCATACCATTTCCGGTACGTCCAAAGCATGAACCTCATTTAGACATTTCCGCATATGAATTTTATATTGAGTAACCTTAATTTCAACGCTCCTCATTACATATTAAAAAAAATATCAAAAAAATAGTAATCATTTACTCTCTACATATAAATATATTATATCATTAGAAAATCTGTCTTTACACCATAATGGATTTGACTGATTTAACCTGGAAACCATTGTAAAATAACAACAAAATAATAAAAAGTGAGTTTACTAATAAGTACATATATAACGAATATCGGAAAAATATTTTGCTGCAAATTTTGCACACATCCTTCTACACTCAATCGCAAAGGTTATGGACGACCTTTAGCGAATGATAATGGCAAAGATGTTATAGAACTCTCTATTTCAAGACACCGCCATAAGACCCCACGTTTTCATAACATTTTCGAACGGTGCCACCGCTAAAGAAAATTCACGTTTTCAAATCTTAAGATGAGTTTTGAAATTTTATTATGAAGAAAAAGTTTCACAACTTTCTATTGAAAACCCTTCATCCAAAAATAAACGTATAATTAATTAAATGAAGTTTCGATATTATTAGTGGAAGAATTTGTTTAATAACTGCGCCAAAAAACACTGAAGAAACTGCATAAAATAAATCATTAGTTATTTCTAAAACGCTCATTCGACTTAAACTACGATGTAATGCTGAGTTGAGAAAACTTAAATGCAAATAATGCAATTAGCGGTTTCATTTTACATTGTAATACAATAAAAAGGGCAACGTTCCGTGAAAATTACATATCCCATCAGATTACAATTTTCCAGAATATAAAAGTAAAATAATCGAATTCGATATATTGAAAGTAGCAAAATTATATAAACTGTTTAGCCAATCTAGCATTTATTAAAATGATTTTCAATATTTATTTCGAGCAGACGAAAAAATTATTACGTTCAAAAATGATACCGAATATTTTGAAATAGTCAATTTCTTATGTAAAAATTTATAGCTCTCAAGTATTTATTTCTTAATGTATTTATATGTAAACGCAATAAATAATGTCTTTCTACTTAGTATCATTAAGTACTTCTAGATACCCTCTTTTATAAAAATAGTAGAATCAGTTTGTAAGAATCGTTTTGCTTAATTCAACCAGATAAATATGAGCAAATTGAAACTAATTCACTATGTGGAATTGGTAAGTTAAACTTCTTCAGTGGCATTAATGCAAACTTTCGATTTCGACTAATACTAATTTCGTATTTTATACTTGCATTAGTGCTGTGTTATTTACTTTCGTGATCATTTTATTTCAAATAATTCATCTTATATATCTACATACTTATTAGAGAATATCATGTTATTTATCACACATTTATCTCTTAAACTGATGACACAATAATAAATAAAGCTTGTATGTGTACACAAACACGCACCCTAATTACATACATATGTATGTATGTAAAATTTGATCTACAGTGCTTTAAATACAATATTTGATTAATAGGTTTATTTAAGCTTGACTGACTCTAAGATTAAACTAAATAGATATATTAATAAGGGCATTAATTAACAATTTCGCACCTCATTGGTCACAGTTTGATATTTAATGAATCCTTTTATTGTTGCGATTGTATGTGTTGAACTCTGTAATATTATTTTGATATTCGAATATGCTAGGATACTAATGTGTGTTAATGATATAGTTTTCTTTGTAGCTGTGTTAAAGGAATATGTATGTATATACGTGTACATGTATGAATGTAGATCATATACAAATATGAGAGGATATATGAATTTTTATTCAAATTTGTTTGGATAGATTTGCACATATTTATTATCTGAAATTTCCAGTTCTTTTGAGATCGATTACTGGCGTTCACCTATTGCAATTAACTACAATTTCATGTATGCATGTAAGTATGTGCATGTTGTTTTGGTTTTTGCTATTGAAAGGTACTTTTTTTTTTAATTTCACATTCTCTTTGGTTTTGAGTGTTTATTTTTAAGAGTAACATATATGAATGTATATAAGTATGTGTGTGTATTTGGAGTTCAATCAACTCACTAATAACATTGCAGGTAAAATAATCTAAATAATATATTTGATCAGTACTGCATAAGGCAGTGCAATAAAGTAAGAGGAACAATGATGGTTATAAGTGCATTTCAATCAAATATTTTATGATCCTTGGCATTTATTTAAAAATAAATATAAACTATTTTTGGACCACAGTTAGTATCAGTTAAAAATCATCACATAGTATAGTACAACTTCAGCTTATACTAAATTACAATATTATCTTGTGCTGATTTCTAAAAATTAATATTTTTAATGCAAAATAATACTTTTGCAGACAGTTAGTTACTTTTGTAATTTATTTTTGTAATTAATTTACTGCTGCTAACATCCTTACACATGGATATATGCATCTCTTTATATAAAGCTGTATATTTAACACGTTTTTATTCATGAGAACTCAATTAAGAATCTGAGGAAAATGATATTGGATTTTAAGGACGCTTTGTACCTTATATTCCTTTTTATTTGCTTTTAGAAGACAACTCAGTTTAAGATAATGCAAACAAAACTAGCGTCTCGTGATAAACACTGAAAAAGATAAAAATTATATAAAAATCATTACAGTATGCCATTATAAATGAAAATTACGGATGAGATATTTGAAATATAATATTAAAATTTCAAAGACCGAATACTGGCAGGAAAAAGAGTTTATGTTTAATAAACATAAAAAAATCGCTTTTTCCAAAATTGTGAATGATTCAAGAACATTTTATATAATAAAATGGAAAGAAATTGTATATGTTTTATTTTTTTGTTTTTAAATATTGTCGAAAGAAATTTTGTCTTATAGACGAGGCAAAAAAACTGATTTTACTGAGCTTGTTTCATATTCGAATCTAAATTCACTCCTCGAGCTCGTCTCAAATTCGAAACGAGGTTGCCTTCGATTTTTTGTTATTCTAATAATTGCAGAAGCAACAATTTGTTATATTTGTACTTCTTAGTTATACTATTGCTGTTTAAATAAATGAATACTGCAGTAAGGACTTAATGATTCAGTAACTCTTTCTTAACACTAAATTTTATGGCAAGAGACAATTTCGAAACTTCTGAATATAAATACTTGATTTCTAAACTAAAATATTCAGTTTATACTCGTACGTTCATCTGTGCATATTGAGTTCAGAGAATAGCTTAATTGTTCAGGTTTCTCTTCCCTGATTTCACAAGAAATAGTACAACCATATTTCAAAATGTTACAAAGTCGCACGTCTGATCGCTCCATGGCTTGGAAAGGATTCTTTTGAAAAGCATTCATTTAAAACTGCAGTACTGTTGTCACCCGCTGACATTAAAGGGATTTCTTGCCATGTATGCATTTTCAGTTTTAGATGACCTATTTTATAAGAATAAAATACACGAAGCAAAGATCGCTCGTTCACACATGTGATTTATTTTCGGTCCATTCCACAATTTTGAAACACTGAAGAGCACCCAGCTTGCCTATTTTTTACTTTGACTATCAAATTCAAAATTCTCCACATTTCAATGCTTCTTTCGACATTCACTTATGAGTGTAGCGTAATAAGTACATAATTGAACGCATCACAAATTTACATTTGTTACTCTGATTCATTTTGATTACGTTTGTGCTTTTGTTTTTCGTTTTTAGACATACATAATTCAAAAGATTTGCTTAATGTTATTACATATCATATTATCAGCCAATAATACAAATATAATTTTTTAAAATATAATATATGATACATATGTGTTGGTTGGCTTTCTATTTACATATTCATACATATGTACGCGTTGTAAGTGCGCATGCATTACCAGGATGATAGAAAAATTCTGACAAAATTGAAATATGAATTTAAATATGAATATTAACTATCTTGCGTACCATCTTAATTACTAATTACAATACATCCAAACGTAAGTATTTTACAAATCGAAAACTTCCATTTTAAAGGATCGTTTACTTGTTGGCACATTAAGACGATTCGGGGCAGTCAAGTTTAGGCGGAGATGAGAGCTTCGCATAGTTACGGGCTGGTCATCCTCGTCATCATCGTCAGAGAAGTCGCTTCTTGTCCTGACCAAACCACCCAAAGCGGGACCACTGTAATCATCTTCATCATTCTGTAAGAAAAGTTCAAATAAATGTACTTATCAGATATAATATTATAGAGTACGCATGCTGTATGTTGGAAGATTTATGAAGAATTCATGAATCTTGTAAAATCGCTACTTGCCTACATATACAAATGTACAAAACTAAAAAATTTAACGTTCTTTTATTATACTAAAGTTAAAAAGTTCTGTCTTCGACCATGCCGAAATCATTATAGCTTTAATAAATATAACATTTTCGACTTAAATACTATTACATTATTTATTGCTAATTTTTGCAAAGTATTTCCATTATATATATTTTACTTATTTTATATATAAATATAAAAAAGATATACGAAACGTTGTTCATGCCAAGCATACGTAGTAGAACAGTTATCAGAAAGGCTTATGATTCTAAAAGAGTGCAACAGTTACGAGTATAAGATGGTATTTCTAGCGAAATCCAGCTCCTTGCAGTTTTCGAAAACGATGATTTCGTCGGGGAAGTAAACGAAACTGAAATAATTTCATATGTCGGACGACGTGAACTAAGATTGTTAAGCTGCAACTGTCAAAAAGACAAGGACACTCAGAGCACATCTCATTTGGAAGTGTTCATCGAAGTTGGTGATGAAAACTCTTTCTATATCAACTAATTATTTTTCGTTTAAAACAAAAAGCAAGAAATTCGTGCAGCAAATTTTTTTTAAATTAATTTATTTTTATTTTGTTTTTAAATTTCTTTTGTACTTGTTATGCATATACATATATCATTGAAATAGACAGTATGCCAAATGAGTGTTTGAATTGAAAGAGTAATGCATATGCATAATAAAGATTTTATTTTCCTTTTTGTACTTCAGATGAAAATTAATACATGAAAGGTATGATTACAAAAAACGGGTACCATAACCACAGAACTAGATGAAAAACATGGTATATCGTTATATATATGCACAATGAAGACCTTACCTACTACATAAATATATAACGGTGAAGATAATTAAATATTTAGATACATGAGCATATGCAAAGAGACATTTTACAAACGATTGTAGGGACATCGAACATCATATGGGTATTCGTCGGGACACATCGACGCCAACCAGATTACAATAATTAGAATAGACTCTATCTTCTTAGTATCAAACAGAATAGAGAATAATTAATAATTTTGATATTTCGCAAATTCTTTTTCAAATAAATCTGATTTTTATTTTAGTTTAAATATATTCAGATTTCTATTAATTTTTTTTTAACTTGTCGTGCTAAACGATTTGTTTTCGAGGTTAAAAACAATGGATTTTTATTTACGCAGTGGGACTGGTGTTTTTTCGATAATTTATCAGTAGATGTGAGTACAGTCACAGTTGCAATATGAAATCCAGCTAAAGTGCACTCTTATTAAGAACTATGATTGTGCTTGTAATGTTTTAATATTTACAGTGCCACAATTAATTGCATATAAATTAACAATTTGCATGCATTCAAATTATTATAATCTTGTGGATGTATGTATGTATGTATATGTAATTATATTCTAAGTATACGAGTATTTGTGAATGATCAAGCATGTGAAATAGACTGTTTAGCAATCAACATAAGTATGGATGCAAGTAATCAAACAAATACAATATGTACAGCAACATATATTTAAGTGTATTGTATACAGTTACCAATATTAAAGCAGTGTATATAGACTCGTACATATAACATAAATCAGTATAACAAAGTGAGCGTTATGTATGCAGAACTTTACCTGTTATTTGCAGTGCCTCCAAATATCTTATTCACATATGTATTTCTTAGATACGAGTGACACTTATATTAACATTTCATGATTTCTTATGAGTAATTTGTAAAGATGTAATCACCAGCATTATACAATAATACGAGTATTCCGAATTACGGTAATTGACGAAATACCCAAAACGGCAACAGAAGTTTCCTTCGTGCAATATATTCACCAAGGCATTTATGTATATACAAATACGAGTACTTACATAGTAATGTATGTATGTACGTATTTGCAAGCTGAGCCGTACACCAATTCAATAAATGTAAATATTTTAACTTTAAGCTTAGCGTCTTTTTTAGTTTCTCTGATTTGATTTCATGTGATTAAGATACAGATAATCATGTCATTTAAAATATCGCTTATATATCTTCACATCCGTTACCTTTAAAATAAGCCGTTAAATTTAATGGAAATATATAAATAGCATTCTCTTTCCAATATGTATATATAGAGGTACACACAATCCATTTCCGTTTTGCCGATTTTGTTTCATGAATACATATGTATGTACATATGTATGCTCATAATCGTATATTTGGCGTATCCAACTAACTTGCAGAAAGCTTTAGAAGATCGTAAGTTCATATGCGTCCACTCATTTGCATCTGGCAGATAATGTAGTCACTGCCAACTTAGCCATATTCAGAACAAATTAAATACTAAAGTGTGTCGGTATTTCAAGATTGCGGGTAAAGATTTCAATTAAAGGTAAACGTTTCGTAGTAAAAGGCCCCAGCAACGGTTAAAGTTTTCTTTAATATCGTTAAAATTTTGCATTTATTGCTTTTCAATAACATTGATGAATATTCGTTAGTGAAATTAGGTTTTGTGATGAATTAGTGGCGCGCAATGATGTTCATTTCGATTTTAAATATTTAGTGTGTGTGTTAGTTGCTTTTTTAGCTTATTATATTTTTTGCTTTTTTCCTTAATATCGGCTTCGTCTAATCTTCTCAGATACTCTTTTTAAAATAGCATTTTTCAATAATTAACTTTGATTAGTAAAACGCTCGTTTAATGTAATTCATTTGGAGGTAACTGTTGCGATTTTATTTAAATTAATGTCGTTACGTATGATTTAACCATGTATGTCTTTAACCATAAGCAAGATGCTCTTAACGAATATGTTGTTATGTGTGTATGTGCAGTTTAATTCTGTGAAAATTTTTCGAAATATTTAATTTAGTTTTAATTGAACAGTTATTGTTATGATGACCTAATATCAAGAACAGCGCTTTTAAACCCTCACGGGCCTCTCAGATGGGCATCATGTGTTATAAACATACATATATGTATGTACATATGTGAGAATATACAGCAATTCCATATTTAAAGCGTCAAAAACTCTGGGTTTTTTGTTCAACTTTACCGAATCGACCTTATTATTTTTCAAAAATTCTTTCCTACTAAGAAAGGAGTTTGAAACGTCGAAGTTTTTAACATTTTTTACATAAATAAATTTAAAATTAAAGAACAAAGTTCTGAGAAAAAAGTGAGAAAAAGTTTGCTAAAGATGGTCAATACATCGCGAATACAATCTTGAATCTCTAATACATGGCAAACTAATATTTTTTTTTGACTAGTTTCAGATTTCGCTGTAAGAATGGAATGGTTGTATATTATGTGTATGTACATATGTATGAATATGTTCAAACTATTTTAATTAGTACATACTTGAAGTCAAGAGAGGAGAAAAACACGTTATAGTATTTTGATAATGAAATTAAATGGATTTATAGCAATATTACTAAGAATACAAATTGTTTTTGTTGTATGATCTTAGCACTGACCTTATTTATCTACATAAAATAAAAGCATTCAAGCGCTAACATGCGCAGGCTCGTATGATTTGTATGGAATATTCTCAAAAATAAGGCCAGGCTTCAAGGTTCATGAATCCATTTTAGAGTGTTTTGTGCAGGGTCAGAGTTATGACATGTGTATAAATCCAAAATGAAAGTTTCGCTCTAAATATATGTTCCTATACTTGTTAGTGTAATTAAAGGTTGAATTCGTATCATTTTATTATTAGTAATGTGTGTAAACAAAGAATATCTGGCCGAACATGCTCTTTATTTTGATGTTAAAAAAAAAGATTTTCAAACTCTCAACTAACAGTTAACCTTAAACACTCACTGTTTGGCCTGCGCTACCTTACTTGTGCTCACTGAGGTATCTTCATGTAAACTGATATTTGAAGAGTTACGCAAAGAAGGAATGACTATTATGAACTTCAGGAGTCTTGCAAGGTTTCAGCGCATTCGTGATTTTAAAAACGCCGTTACTTGCCTTACTGTGCACCTAAAAACTTACATCAAAATCGCCGATTGTGAACCGTGTCGCTGCGAGTGAATTCTGAGGAGGCATATCCGGACTCATTACCTAATTTTGAAAACGTTCGAACATTTGTTAATTACTATATGATATGGGTTATTAACAATGACGTCAATCAATGAAAATTATAGTAAATATAAGTAAGTGAGTTGTTGTATTAGTTCCTGAATTATGAAAAGAAAATAAATGAAACCAATATTAACCACACAAGAACACAAGCACATGGATGGATTTGTGTGCATAAATATTAATGTATGTAAAAACATGTAAACAAAATGTGGTAAAATGTTTTGGAGTGAAAATAGTTGAAAGCAAATTTTAAAATCACCTCATCGTCGTCATTATCAATCATTTCTTTCGTTGATGCCGTAGTTTCATTTCTTCTTATTGAACCCTGGTGAATGTCTAGATCAACCTTCAGACACTGGAAGCTACGCATCAAAAATACAATGGGCATTGGTAGCACACCTGCAAGTATCATAGCTAACGCGATACCCATCACCCAGGGAGGGTAATTCGATTGTTGTACAGCACCCTAAAGTTATATATAGAAATATATATGTAATATGAAAATACTTTGTTATTTCAAAATATAGGCATTCATTACAAGTTGTGCATTCCAGGCACCATAAGTAGGATTCCTGATCACCATGAACACAACAGATGAAACAAGAATGGCTGACATAATGACTGGTCCAATATATCGCCAGGTTAATTGCCAGTAGAGTCCAGGTCGGTATCCAGTCATTTGATAGATATCCTCCGTGAACCTAAATAACAAAATGATTAGTTATAGAGATGTTCAAAAAACGCTAACAAGAAAAATTGACCAAACGAAATGAAATCGTTTCGTTTTGTCGCCAATTCAAAACGAATTGAATTCGTTATTGTTAAAGCCACACAAACTCATCGCTAATGTTAATTTTAAAATAGATAAAAACGAAACGAAATTTATTTTTTAACTAGGATTAACGCTTAATGCTTAAACCGAAAAGATCGATTTTTTTTGATTAACCTTAAATTCATGGTTACGATACCGCTTTGATTTTTAAAGAGGAAGAGGGTTCAAGGTACCCATATATAGCGTTAGTTGTGCAGTTAATTGTCATGTTAAATTATATTTTCGGTTTTTTTTTTCGAAATAAGTCTTTTTATAAGTATTCTTTGATAGATTGTTTTCATAGTTTTTTCAAAACAAATACTAAAATTAAGTAATTATTAACTTTTTTATACCCTTTTGGTCTTTTTTGATGAGACCCCTCCTCCGGAAAAAACTTGCTTTTTATTGGCGAATGCTTGGAATCTGGAGTTTCAACTTTCATATTATTTTGAAAGGAGCGTTATAAATGGTAACCTGATAGAACAAAGTCATGGCTGATGGGCAGATCACCTCCCAATTGAACTGTTAATTATTGATAGATTATTAATGAAGCGTGAGACTTGAAACAACACCCCTTTGGCGTTAGTCAGTTCCGTTGGTTTTCTTTCATTAATTCCCTCATTCAATTTCTAAAATTGACGACAGTAGGCTTTCGAATCAATAATTTGTTTTCTTGAAAGCAGTTCAATCCCGTCTTTTTTTAATGATTCCCGGTAGCTAAGTCAACCTTATATATACACATACATATTATTGGCGCTTTGTAAGCGCTGGAGCGATTTTTCGGTCCAGATCTTCCTTCAATTTGTAGTTTTGGGTCTTAATGTTTTTTCCACAAAGGGAGGGAACTACAGTTTGTACTAGACCGACTACAAACGGCTGATGCTTTTTTACTAGGAACCTTATTTCATGTCAGTAATACACTCGGACGCTTTGACATTCCCTGCCAAGGAGTGACCGCAGTTAGAAAATTTAGCTTAATTTTTTATTTAAATTAATTTGAAATTAATTTGGGCCCGAGCCTTCCGAATGGTAATACGTAATGATAACCAATCAATCGGCTTCTGTGGTCTTGACATTTTGTTATTTACACATATTCTTGATTGTAAAGTAGTATGAGTATTTTTTTTTAATAAGGCGGGCACGTCTGATAAATACCATCATAATTCAATAGAGATCTCCCTCTTTCTAACTTTCTATATGTAATATATTTAGATATCAGCATCTTCTTCGAGGCAAATCCAGAGGAAATGACGCAAATAGTTTATTATTAAACGATTTTTCGCAATATTTTCACTACGCTATAGTTCCTTATGTAACTTCAACCGCCTGACCGGTAAAACTGCTGGGTTCAGTGCCGATGATCACACCAAATAGATTAATAACACTACCATTTTTAAAATATGAGTTGTGCTGGGCATGTCTGTTATTTGACTTCTTTTCGGCATCTTATCCTCTTATATATGTATTTATGAGTACATACTCAATTAAAACATAACTCATAGTTGTTATTGTATGGAGCTATTTACCTTTCATGTCCGTATACGTATACCACGGCAATTGTTTCCATTAAGGCGACCACAACTAAGCCAATCGTGCCTGCAAAAGAGTCGAACATTTTCAGCCAATATTCTCCAGCACCTGTGCAGAAGATGAAACCAACACTGAAGCAGAAGAGGCACACTACTCCAGTCACATGTTGTTTTTTAACCCGCTTAATTATATCAATATCAAAAAGCGTGCATAGCATTCCCTCCAGTATGCCAATTTGAGATCCCAATCCCAGTGAAAGCAACATTGTGAAGAAAAGCACTGCCCAGAAAGGCGCCCCGGGCAATTCCACAATTGCTTGAGTTATAACAATAAACGCAAGTCCTGTACCTTCCGCCGCCTGCGACAAAAGTATATAATGAATAAATGAATATTATGTATGTTATGTAGAACTATAAATATTTACATTATCCAGTTGTTTTGAAAGGCTGCACTCTTCAAGTTCTAAGCTGACCAACTCCGATTTGTCAATTTTCATTAAAACACTTTCGTATTCTTCCATGGTTGCGTTTTTAAACTGAAGAAGGCCATGCTTGGTTAAGATATCCTTATTTCTGTTGAAGACAAAGATAATGTATAAATACCACTAAATTTTGGTAAATATTATACTATACATATATGGGATATACTCCTATACATATGTATAAAATTACCGCTTGAAATAACTTCAGTGCAATGAAACAATATAATACAGCCGTCAATCAACGGTTGATGAATTTTCATGGCAAGCAAGATATACACTGGGGAAGTATGGCATTCTCTGGACATGATTCGACCCCATGACCTTCCACATAGTAGCTAGGCTACGAGACTGAATAATGAGCAGTTGAAATGTACGTTCTATTGCCAGAGATAGCCACAATAATGTGCATATCGAAATGCATTGCATTTCTATTTCACTATTTAATTATTCCGTTCTGAATAGACATTCAATTGCTTCAATTAGGGACTGTGCCACTGTTTAATTGAAGAATCAGAGAGCTCTATTGAAATGATTTGCCCCATGAACAACCCCCTGCTTGCTTACCCTACCTCGCTACATTTTCTTTTTTAATGAATGTGCATTTACAACAAACAATTATGATGAACTGGAAATAGTTGAAAACTGGGAATTTGTGTTATTAAATAAATCAAATGATATACATGATATACGGAAACTAGTTGTAACCAATGCGTTCCAGTATATAGAACTTACAGATCGATGCAACGGTCAACATTGACCGTGGCCTTGAATCCCAGAATAGCGAAGATCACAACGCTGGCGTATATGGCCGTGATGGCATTACAAACGGATACCAATAGGACATCACGAACACAGTTATTTTTGGGCGGGTTGTAACTTCCGAACGCGATCAGGGAACCAAATGCCAAGCCGAAAGAGTAGAAAACCTGCGTGGCAGCATCCAGCCAAACCGTCGGGTCGGCTAATTTCTCCACTTTAGGTGTGTACATATGAATCAGACCAGCGCTGGCACCTCGCAATGTAATTCCACGTATGAAGAAGATCGTCAATACAATGTATGGGAAAAGCGATGTGAAATATACTACTTTTCCGGAGCTTTGAATGCCCTTCATAACGATAAAGAATACGATTGTCCATGAAAGGAATAAACAGAGGACTATCCACCATTTGAGGCCACCTGGTTCATCCATTGAGGGTGCAGCATCTAATGTGGTGCGATACCAAAAGTATGCAGTCTCTGAAGAGCGTGCACATTCTTCCACCTCCACTGTGCCATTCGTAGGACAGGAAGCCCACGGTAAAGGATACTGAAAAAAAAGAAGATATTAAATACAGTTTTATTTTTATAATTTTTGCCGCTAATTCCAACTCACGCGAAAACTGTTGAATAGGTAAAAGAATACCCAAGTGATTATTACGTTATAATACAGGGCTACGAAAAGTGTTACGATACAAGATGATATCCCAATACCACCCAACCATGGATGTATCGTGTTCCACACACCAAGTGCTCCAAGTCGCATTCGTTGACCAATGCCGAGTTCAATCAAAAAGAGCGGCACACCTTCCAATATTAACATCACCATAAACGGTATTAAAAATGCTCCTGAAAATATGAATTTTTTTAAATATTTTAAATTGAAATACTCTTATGCTACACACATGCACGCGGGATGTCCGTAAAAAGTAGCGTGGTTCGTGAGTGATTCTACGATCGTGGTGATATAAAGTTTCCCTTTAGGCTTGTATCAAGAATAACTACGAATCTGTTCAATAGAAATTTTTATAATTGCGTTAAGGAGCCGCGAAATAAATTTGACTCCAATAAGAGACGGAATCTGGACTTCGTATTAATGTAACGAACCTACAATTTTCTAAGTTAGCTCAAAATTCATTATTTATTGTAGGTAAACCCCTTATTGAAATAGAAAAAAAATTAATGGAATCTGCGGAAATTTGTTAATCTGCGGGACTTGTAAGAATTTTAAACAATTTTTATTATATTATATACTCGGAGGGCTTGGCTTTACCTGCCGAGGTTCGATCGCAATCATAAAAATTATGTTAATTTTTTATTCAAATCAGTTTTTTTATGATTTTTAGATTTTGGCCACACCAGTATTTGGACTCGGGCCTTCTGAATGGCAGTACGCAATACTAACCACTAGGCTACCGCAACCTTACTAACATTTTAATAATATTAAGTTTACACAAAATCAACTTGTTACACATTTCACCTTATGGTTGTGCATTAACCCTTTATCGGTACCTATACCATTTCGTTTTATTTCTATTCTTATTATTCTTTCACTTTCCTTTTTTGTTTTAGTACAACTAGTATTTAGTGCACATCTATCGAAGATTACAAAATATTTTTTATTTTTATTTATAATAAATGAATCAAGATCCCTTAAAAAGCTTATGAATACCTAATTAGTATTTCATGAAACAACATTTATTATGTAGTAGCAACAACATGTGGCAGAAGCTAAAAGTTCGTAGAGATTTTTAAAATTTTTCATAGATTGGTCATAGAGGTCGGTACCTGCTGTAGAGCCCACATGTAATCAGTTCTTTACCACGCCAAGTTCAATAGATTTATTTTATTCCGCAGTATATCAAGTTAAGTAAATGTATCTACGTATATCTCAATCAGCCATGAAAACGACTCCTGCACTACCTCCATGATTCCCTACTTTATTATATACGAGTATATATCGTGTATGGATATTTGCAGTTACTTTTTCACGAAGTAAAATACGAGTATAACTTTTGACTAACATCACCAAGACGATTAATTTTCATTCCGTTCGAATGTATGCTATTCATGGTTTGGAAATTTTAGAAAGGCAGAGCGCTTTAAGCACGATTCCCCGTTGATCTTAGTAATTAGTCGGAGTATACATACATATGTATGTAGATTTGAAAGGAATCGCATTTCTTTCTCCAACAAATCGTTTATTCTTAAAAACGCGAGTGAGATGAAAAAACAATTTTATTGTGGTAAAACTTTGTCCAAAAGAAAGTTTTAAAAATAAATAAATTTAAGATGTGAAATATAATAAGAATTGATAACGGTATTGTTTTCGATACTTTAAGTGAATTGTAGAATAATTCGAACAACCAAGAATTGTATTGAAAAGTGTCTCTCATAAAAAGCTAATTTCATTTTTGATGTAAGTGCGCTAAATATCTCTTCATGGCTGTACGAGTATGTATATCAAGTGTAGGGCCTTAAGTCCATTGCAACCGAATGATTGATATTATCAAATTCCATTGCAGTGATTTACTTTTAAGTCGCCCTATCATGTGTTCTATTTATTTGATTGCGTATGTACCAACACAATGTGTACTTATTTACATTAAATGTAATTAGAATTAAACTAATTAACAAATACATAAACAATATTTTTCGAATCGAAGAAATACATACATATAGCCAGTATAACGCATTTTCAAATGTACTATACGTGAATGTGCACTTGTTCACACAATTTTAGAAGCGTTAACAACTCAAAATATAGCAGAAAGTTCGAAATATCAATAAGGAGCTGACGCTTAATTTGTCATTAAGCCAAGGTTCATCAAAAGTCTAATATTGTAGATTCACAAAAGATTCGAAAAACTCATCCAAAAAAGACTAAATTTTGCATTGCAATATATGTATGTACAAAAGTATAGAAAATAAATTTGCAAATTCTTTCTTTCGATTTAATGATATATTTTTACTTATACTCGTATGCATATTTATTCCTCCTTACTTATGTACATACATACATTGCCTTCATCGAATATGTAATATTAAAATTGGTTTATTTTACTTACCCCCGCCATTCTGTTGGCATAGATAGGGAAATCGCCAAATGTTTCCTAAGCCCACAGAATATCCAATAATGCTGAGGAAGAACTGCATTTTACCAGACCATGCTGCACGATCGGGCTCACCCGGTATCTCCACCGAGCTCACCGAATTGCGTTGAGAGGCAGTAAGAACAATTGTAACTCCATGAGTACCATCGCCACGTGCTCGTGTATTCAATGGCGCCATCTCGTGGCCATTTCGAGGAGCATCGATAATTTTGGTTGCAGCCATCAACAATAAAACAAACGAGAAATCTTTTCCAAATTTGGTATGATAATCTTTTCAATACAGTTATAATGCCTGTTAAAAATAATAAGTTAAATAAACAATAATAAGTACAGAGATGTTTGTGGTGTTATTTCTCGTAAATGTAATGATAGGAAACACCCACAGATCATCGTTACTTAGCGAGATTAATTTCAACAGATCATTTGTAAACCGAAATATAAATGACATGAATCTCCCAACTGCTTTTAAAGTATTTTTAATGATCATTATTACAATTTTGATTTCATCGACCGCCTCCATCCGCAACCATTTACTGAATATTGTTAACAAGTAGGCTTTGGTTTCTTCTAGGTATCATTAAATGTTTAAGAGGTCAGAAGAAAGACCTGACTGTAGAGGGTTTTTGGTCTCAGTCTATTGAAAATTTTGTCAATATAGATGATAAAATCTGTTAATAAAAAGAACAGTAAAGGGATTTACTACCAAACTTATTCGTAAGCAATTGGTTGGAGGTGGGGAGGTGGACACTTTAATAACATATTTGCGTGCAATAATATTTTGTGTATAACGAAGTAATTGGAAAAAATATGAGAGAGTTGCCTGCCACATTTTAAGGGAGCGCTCTAATCCTTCAGATATTCCAGAGGCAGTGCATAAACTATTACGCATAAACCTGATTATTTGCAGATTAATTTCGTTCAATAGGAGAAATAAGGGCTATTTGAAAATATTCTTAACCATATAAGACCCCTAATGAAACCAACGTTGATGCCATTCGAGCTGAAATTAGTAGCCACGCTGAGAAGAATGGAATAGATTCCCATATCATGGAAGCATCAGTCATTTTCATACTGTTGCTAAAAATATTTAAATGCAAACAATTTAAGTTCTTGCAAGTTTCAAAACGGAAAAAATATGGCGATTACAATTTCTGGCACATGCCATATATTGCAATTTAGGGTTCGAAAACTAAAACGGATCAGTGAAATTCAGCACATGACAGCACCACGTTTTCGACGACAATGTCATGCGAAAACGATTTCCAGCACATGCCTGATAAACTATTATCCAGATCTTCTTTGTTTATAAGCAATCGTATTATGTGTGTGCAGAATATTATTGTTATATTTTATCACATTCCATTGTTATATACAGGGCTATCAATTTTGCGGTTTCGAAAATAAAAGTGAATAAAATGCATAAAAAATATCATTCTCTATGAAATCTCTTTTTTACTATAAATTTTATACTAGGTATTATATAATATGTTAAACACCACACATTCAAATGACGCCACGCGAATTTCTGCAAGCTTCGATGTGTTTGAGGTTGTTCTTTTTGCTCTCTCTTCGCGCTATTTTTCTCAATGAGTGAGGTAACCACTTCGAAAACAATTGATTTTATCAAAGAGTAAAATTATAAGTTTATTAAAGAGTAAAAATACCTTGAGTAAGGCAAAATCGGAAATTGTCAAAAATTTTATATACATTATGGTCAACGTAGCAAATGGGCCTATAAAAGCTAAAAACCAAGCAATTTTCTGAAAATGCTTAAAAAGAAGCTAAAATGTTGGCTTTGTAATCTAAATTGCTTTTTTCCTTTTTTTAAGAACGCAGTAAAGTAGAAATTTCAAATATCAAACAAATTAAAGTTCATTCGTACATTCATGTCATAGCTTATAGAGAGATAACGTTTTTGAAAATATTTTCCCATATACTTTGAACTGCGGGTGTCCAAGCGGTTGGAGAATAATGTTGAGAGGATTCAGGTGAGCACTAGGCTCGTATTAAAAATTGTGAGTAACCCACTGGTCTTATCCGGATGCCAGAGAGGCGTCTGAGGCTGCGCAGCCGTCAATCGCAACTGCACGATATGCAGGTATGAGAAGACGAAAAAGATGAGATTGGAAATTTGCACTTGTTAGAAGATAAATTCTATTATTGCGTATATGCACTAACGTAATATACATATATACATATATCCCAGAATGCAAAAACTCAAATGGCAGTCACTGTGTGACTCTCAAAACTTTTAAGGCTTTTGGCTTAAACAAACGAAATCACAAATTTAAGCCAGAAAACCACCGATTGATAATTTTTTTCGGTTCATTTAATCATGTGAGAATAACTTAAACCCCCAAATATACTCGTGTCCGAGAGGCAGCAAAAACGGCGACTATATAAAACTCATTTGGTAACAGGGCTATGGACCGAGGCGTTATGCCCTTTAAGTTGGTTGAATCAGTTGTTATGGTATGGTATGGTTATGGCACATTTAATTTAATATTTCTTTTTTTCGCTGCTTCGCTCCAATTGAAAAATCCAAGTTCAGCCAGTTCTAAACCTGATCTTTCAACCGGAGTGTAGATCTTCTCCTTCCACCGGCGGGGTTTGCATCGAAAACTTTCATAACTGGAGTATTCTTATCCATCCGGAGGACTTTACTGTATGCTTTTGGGTATGCGGTTACAGGGGCGTAGTCGAGCTTCTAGGTATGCAGTTGCATTAGGGGACTATACTCAATTCCTACTCTTGCGTTCACGTCGCAAACCCTGGGAGAATGAGCAAAAAATTATTTACGCTTCAGAAGAGCTACCACCTTTCTGATAACGACCCCCGCAAACGAGTTAAGGATCACGATTTGAGGGAATGCACATGGAATGTCCGTCGTCGAGTACTGACATTCACCCCGGTGGATGAACGTCTCACCACGATCCGCAACAAAGCGAAACTTTTCAACATATCGTTAATTTGTGCCCACGCCCCGACGGGAGAGAATGACGATTTGGCCAAAGACGCCCTTTATGAGCGCCTAGAGCATGCTGGCAAGCACTGGTTCTGCCACGATGTGAAAATCGTGCTTGGTGATTTTAATTCCAGGGTAAGCAAAGTAAATATCTTCGGTGCAACTGTCGAAAAATTCAGCCTCCACAATGTCTTCAATGTTCCTGACGAGCTTACACTCCGAGGACCCAATTTCGTCTCGGACCACTATTTTGTTGCATCGAGGATACGCATCCGCCTCTGTGTATCAAAGCACGCTCGTCAAAGAAAGTTGGACGTCGAAAAGTTGCAATCATAACAGTGCTTAGTTTAGTGTTAACAATTTTTTCAAATATAAAATAAATGATTTGAGAATTCGTTGTCAATGCATTATTATGTACTGCTCTCATATGTACACAGTCAATCGAAGTATTCAACGCGTCATCCAATTTCAGTGTATTAGCCATACCGAAAAGTGGGTTATTTCAGCTTTGATGCAAGTCAAATGTGTTTTTTTTTTTTTGTTAGATTGGTCTCTGGCCTACTTCTCGAAATAAACATCCCATGTGGCATTCTAGGAGGAGAGCTATCAACTAGCATATTAAAAAATTAAGCATTTGAAAGGATCGGTCTTCAGTCCAATTCGGTGGGAAAAATACTATAGTATCGTATTTATGTAATGATCGCGAAATTTCTGTAGGTTAAAATTTTTAAGCAATTCGGGTAGTCAGTTTAGTTGTATTTCCCAAAAAAAAACTAAATTAGTTGACTGAATTTCTACAAGTTGTATATTCACCAACAAAGAATGTCTACATACACGTACATATGTATGCATAGATAAGCATAGTAAAGCCATGTTTGTGAGCGCTTTGTATAACGGTATCATATTACTGTGTTTACATTCATGCATTGTCTGTAACTGTTTGATCAATATGATTTGCAATTATTAAAGCAATTCAGTTTTTCGTTTTACTTTATAATATAAATGGCACTTTGTAACACCTGGAGCGATTTTCGGCCGAGCTCCACCTCTAGTTTGTGGTTTTGCGTCTTCATGTGTTTCAAACAAAGAGAGCGACCTACAGTTTATAATAAGCCGCCTCCGAACGGCCGATGGTTTTTATGAGGAGCTTTTAGTCAATATCTGAAATACACTCGTAGAGGTTGACATTCCCTACCGAGGGGCAACCGCAATTAGAAAATTTAAATTAAATTCTTTATTTAAATTAATTTTTTGTAACTTTTGGATGCTCGTATTACCAGCATTTGAACCCGAGACTTCCGAATAGCAGTGCGCAATGCTAACCACTCGACTACCGCCGCTTTACTGCTTTAACTAAAATAACAATAACCGTGGTATAGTATTATAAAAAATATCATTTTGCGCATTATAACGACTGAAGCCATTTTCTTCCAACGAAGGCCTCGATGTTTTACTCTTAGTTCATGTCAGAATTACAATCGTGGGGTTCGTCGATGAGCCTTTAGAGGAAAATTTGTCTGTAATTTTGGAAGTTGATCTGACCGAGTAATCGAACCCATGAGTTTTCGCCAGGCAGCATACGCTGGAAACATAATTTTTAAGGTTATGCTTTCGACCATCTGCAGTCAAAAACTGTACCTTCCTTGTGGTGGGACTGCGAGTGTGTAGCCCACGCGGAGTTACTTTCAAGTAATGAAATTTTATATTCAAATAGGTATTGCAGAAAATTGTTGAAAATTGTGTTCCATTATGACATAACTAGTCAAAAATTTGATGAAACTCAATTAGCAACTGCTCCAACATCAACTATATATTTCTGACTTATCACCATCAGATTACCTTTAATTTCTATTCATTCTGTTCCAATATATAAATAAGTGTATGTAAGTTTACAGACAAGCTTGGCCCATTTGTGTAGTGAAAAGTTTTTGGTTGGTGGGGATTTTGAGCAGGAGGGATCATTGACTATGTTTATATGAAAAAAGTGCGGGTCGGGATTTGTTTCTGCCTAAAGTAAATAATATTTATGTATATAGACGACAAGAGATACAAGATAGTGCTTTTGAAACAATTCAATTAGGGTATGATACGTTTTCTAGTCGTATACCCTCACGTTTCGGTGTTTAGAGTTGGCCTCCTTGGTCTTGTGATTTTACGTCATCACATTTCATTTTATGAATTTTTTTAAGATCAGCAAGAAGACAACCAGTCTTAAAATACAGAAAAAAATTTAGCGTAACATCACCGAAATTTAGCTACATTTATGTAAAAACTATATTATATATTTATATTATATAATATATAAAATATTATATGTATATATTAAT